AGGCCTCAACTTTTCCAGCCGATATTTATGCTTTCGCACCCTTTAGACAAGGTTCATCAGTTGCTCTCCACTCTGATGACGATCCTTTTGATTCCGGAGTGAGGTGATAGATCCATGTTTCATCCATTGTCACATATCGACGCAAAAATTCTGGTGAGTTATGTTTAAACATAGCCCAAACACTGCTCAGAATCATCAAGACGTTATTGTTTTTGGTCAACAGTGAGCTCGCGCGGTACCCACTTTGAACAGAGCTTTCTCATAGTCAAATGCTCAAGCAATCTAAAGCCAACACGTTCTTTTGATATCATTACAATGTCAGCTAAAGTCAAATTAAACGATAATGTGCACTCTTAAAGTCTCAAAGGCCAAAAAAACTAATACATAGAAATGAACCGGCAGCGAACTAGTCCACGTGGACTGTAGAATTGGCGGTTCGTATTGGATAGTTTTTAATAACCGAGTTTTATGATTGGCTGAAGAGTCATGAAATTAAATTTGAAGTCATGTTGTGGTGACGAATGGAAATCGGCAATGCGGGGATGGTTATCGCCGTCGTGTTCAGTTCAGGAACTGATCGCGATTTCGGTGTTGAAATTCGATATTGTTGCAGCTATAATAAATTAAAATTTTTGTTATCTGTTTGAAATGTGACCAGCTTGACAAGTACTGATACTAATAACGAGTGTGATAAAAACGTAGACATTTCCAGTGTAGTGATTCCAATAGCAATGGTGAACAATGCCAAAAAGGGATACCAGTGAATAAGATTCGGATGCATTTGAATATTGAAACACAGAGAGTATGTTTCAATGTAGGGTAGACCGGGGCGATCGGATCACAGGGCGAATCATATCAAAGTAAGAAATCTATGGATAATTCAAATATCGCATTCACATAGAACGCACTCAACCAGCGTTTTGTGTCTCTCCATTCACCTCGCACCCCCCAGACATGGGTAGTATTTCGATCATGCTTGTGAATCAGTGTCGACGACGCTCGTCAGCGACTTAGTCGTTTGTGTGTGTCGCAATTTTGGCGCTCATCCAAGGTACGTACTTACGATTTCTTTGTGTCATATTATGGATTTGTGTTGAAACTCAACTATATTGGTTTATATTGTTGAGCAAGGTGTCTAAATTAGAGAACCAATTCGCTTTCAAGTCTGATCTTAGAGGTCAACGTCTAAAATATTTATTTCAAAAGTCTTGATTTTGGGACTAATCGGATCATATCGTCAGGGGCGAATTGGATCACACTTTCAAACTGATTTATCACATGTTCGAGGTTATTGATTCACATTTATTTTATTGTAGATGATTCGCACATACGAAAGAAAGACTGATGCTGGAGAATGGTCTGAAGTAAAAATGAAAGAGGCTGTAAATAAAGTCCAGAACAAAGAGTCGACCTGATGTCAGGTTGCTGAGATTTTTGCAGTACCGTTCACGAGCTCACAGAGAAGAGTAACTTTATCCAGGGGTATTATTAGGCGCTGAGTTGAACCGCCAGCTTCAGATGAGAACTCAGAAAAAAGTTAGCTGACCGGCTATTGCACTTGGCAAATCATGGCTTCGAAATTACATACAAAGCGGTACGTAAAAACGCGTTCGAATTTGCGGCAAATGCAAAACATAAAATACAAATTTAACAGAGGTGCTGGAATGGCTAGTCAGGACTAGTTTCATCACTTCATGCAAAGAAATAAAAAATAAACTATTCGGAAGCCGATTTTCTCCTAGGTACTGAAGTTGCCATGACATAAAAGGACTGGGTCACCAAAGAATCTTTCAAGTTATGGCTGCAACATACCCATCGCTATCGTTTTTCAAACCGCTCAAAACCTATCATTATCAACAAGTCAAAGCATGGCAACACGCACATCCGGATCAAGGATTCAGGCTGCCACTGTTGGCAATGCTACAAAAGGCTACAAGAAGACTGGAATATTGCCACTAAACGCCAATGCAATACCTGACCTCAGGTTCATTGGTGATCAAGAGTCACACATTGTGGAGTCCCAAGTTCATTCCTCAAGCTCCCAACAAATTCAATCACAAGTGCAAACCACAAATAGACAGCCAGTAGCTGATGCAGCGTCAGCTGCAAGTTCACGACAGTCTGACAAAGCCCAGTCTTTCACGTGTGCAGATGAAAAAAAGGAGATGAAGAATAAAGCAACACCTGGGATAAAAATCAGCAAAACAGAGAGACTGTGAAGTGCCCCAAGTCCAATCCGAAAGTTCCCTACAAGTGCGTCCACAAGACCAATCCTCAAAACAAGTACAGTCAAAAATAAAGGTAGAATTCCAAGTCACAGATACAAAATAACTTATAATAATATATTGCCATCCACAAGTTCGCAACAGTCTAACAAAGCCCAGCCTTTCACCTGTTCAGAAATATTTAAAAAAATTCTTCCATCACCTTTGAAGTCACCAATTACTTCTAAGAGAATTCGTAAACTTATGGAGAGGGAAGGACCATATATAAGTGATTTATGTTCTGATATTAAAATTGATCTCATTATTAATTTTTACCACAGCAAGTGTTAATAAACTCAAAATTCAGTTACATGTTGTATACGATCCGATTCACCACGAAAGTTGGGTCGATGCCGATATTTTCCTTTTTTTACTTTTCAATAGCTAATTAAAAAATATATGGATGATTTAGGTTTTGAAATGTTTATTTCATAGCTGAATATTGCTTCTTACGTTTTCATCAATAAAAATAACATACACTTTAGTATGATTTGCTCAACTTCAAAAAAAAGTGATCCGATTCGCCTCGGTCTACCCTATGTAAGAATCTACATCTCAAGTTTGGTTTCGAGGGAAACAAACTATTACATCAAACAACATCAGATTTGACCGAAATTCCTTCATCAGCTGTCCTACGTAAAATAGTCAAAAACAAACCTTATGAACGCAAGACACGATCTGATACAGGATTACCAAAACTTTTGGATGTTCATATAATAAAATCTTCGAAAAAAAATATATGACTGTTACAAAAGCAATGAGATTCCTACAACTGAAATCATGAGGCAGAAATTTAATAATTCCGGCCATAACGTGAGCTGCTGTGACAAAACTCTTTAAAATTGGTGAAAGATACTAGGATTCAGATTTAACGTAATAAACAAACGTCAAGCAGTTATGGAAAGCAGAAGAATAGTGGAATTGCGTAAAAAATACTTAGAACAAATAATCAAATATAGACAAGAACAACGGCAAATTTTCTATTTGGTCGAAACTTGGCATGACACTCACGACACAGTTACGAAAGGGTGGACTGATGGTTCGAGAATGTGTACGCCTAACATGCCTGCAAACAAAGGATCGCCACTAATCATTGTGCATTGTGGGGGAAGTAAACGGTGGGTTCCGAATTCTTTGAAATTATATGGAAAAAACTGAGGACTGAGGAATGGTTTGAAAACACATTGATCCCAAATTTGGATTCGAATAGTGTAATAATTCTTAACAACGTTTCCTATCATTCGCGACAGCTCATCAAAGTATCGAATACAAATTCGAGGAAGGATGAAATACAAAGTTTTTTAATGGATTACAATTTGTATTTTGAAGAATACTATACCAAAAACCAACTACTTTTGAAGTTTCACAGACAAAAACCTTTGGAAAAAAGTGTGCCCTTAAGAGTATTGCTGAAATATGGTCACACTACTTTCCCTACTTTCCCAGTCACCTAAATAAACAAAATATTTATTACATAGTTATTGTGATTCTTATATAATCAGAAATGATTATTTATTAACGAAATTAGTTAACTCCCTAACTATATTATTAAAGGGGAGCTATTGGAAGGTAAGTTGCACCATATCGTTTACTTACTATAACTCACGCAAATTCACTTTTCAAAACGATTTTGTGTATTTTTTTTCATCTTTTCTGGTTTACTACCTTATTTGGACGTTTACTGCGTTCTGCACCATCGGTGTCTCTACGACCACATTTGAAGTCAGCAAACCAACATTTAATCGTTGTTTCTGATGACGCGGAGTCTGAATAAACTTTTCTAGCCATTGCCTCGCTCAAACGGTTTTTTTCCATCAGAGAGCAGTGTAAAATCAAAACACAAAATTGTTTTTGATCCATTGTTTTAAAAATAACAAAAGTGGTGTCACTCATAGCACAGTAACTCACAAACTCAAGAGTAGAATATCATGTAATTTCAACAGCTTTCATTTGGAAGTTAGTACTAACTGAAAAAGCGGTGAATGCGATAAGACTAGCGCCATCTATGTGTTAGGCCCAAGACTTTTCAGCCCATAAAGTATATTTGTTTTTTCGGTTGAAAATTTCAAGAACTGATAAAGTTCAATGGTGTGAATGTTTTAGATTGAATGACAGCAATTTCTGTCAGAAATTGAAAGCAATTCAATCCAAAAGATTTTCATTCATTTTACGATGAACAATCAAAGAGTGAAAAAGATATTTGCTCATATAGGTACGATACATCAAAAGCATTGATGCACTTCAAACATATACATTTTTTCTACTGATCTTGTATAAATGTCGTTTGTTGACAAAATCTTGTCTATTCGAAATTCGAATAGTTCCTTCTTTTTCTCAAACTGTATTTTCCATTAGCAATTATTTTCTCGGAGCTCAACATCACTAACATTGCATTGGAATATATTTTTTCTGTTATTTTTGACATTAAATTGCATTTTTGTATTCGTATTGAACATTTCCAATACTGATCCTCCAAAGCCTAGACAATCTTCCACTGTTATTTAAAGTCAGGTGTAAACATTATTCATTTGGATTCGTCTAATGGGAATTTTAGTATAATGCTTATTGAAGATATATCAGTAATGCGAGTTGCTATAAAGTAGATACGTTCAACAATCAATTAATATTATGACTTTTTATCACATTTTCTTTTGAAAAAGGCTAATTTTCCGTTTTCCGAACGTGAAATACTGTTAGCCGACAGTTTTACGTAGTATTAGTCACCGCTAGTTGATTGGTAGACGAATCAGGTGAAGAAATGATGAACTTTCCAGTTATTTTGACATTTGACAGTAGTTGGTAATTAGAAAACATTAGGATTTAATACCGAAAACAATTATGACAAAATATTATCAGTCGTCAAAATTTTTCTGTTTGATAATGAAGAAGGAGAATAATTTCAATCGGACGATTTAAGAAGTTTTGGGTATCAATGGCAAATATAAATTGGTAAGCTCATTTAACTTGAGGGGTATTTAAATTTTCAATTAACATTATTTTCAAGGTACCCAGCTAAAATAAAATGTTCAGAGGAAGATCCTATCTTGAACGAGAAACAAATTTCACTGCATTCGCTAGCTGATATACAGTTACGGTTTTTGTGCCCAGATGATTTGGATGAAGTCAGGGGGTTATGCCAGGATTGGTTTCCAATTGAATACCCATTCTATTGGTATGAACAAATTACCTCAACAAATAGGTAAGTTTCTCACTAAAGATAATTGTTTGTGTTACAGCCACTCCCTCAATTTATCATTGAAACAACTCATAAGGAAATTTCCTTTACCTAGGCTAGGTTGTGATAGTACAAAAAAGCATTTACTTGAGATCCAAGCCATTATAAAGTGCTATTAAATCACCTGTACTAGTTAGTGAAATTTATTGCATAAATGAGAAATTTGAATTCTACTGGACGGTTTACAAAACCCCAACATGTGTTTTGCAATACAATGGCTTTCTCAAAGGATTTTCATAAATTACGAAAACGCTAGAGGAAGCTATTGAATAGCGAAACACATTTTGCGTGTCTGTAAACTAGTATGACAACTCTTGAGGAAGTTATTATAAAGTGTTACTTAATTTTCATTAAGTATTGGTCAAGTCCATCAAATACTTCATTACCATTTATTACAGTCACAGAGTAACTTTAATAAGCTACAAAAAACAATGAATCACTTGAATATTTTGATGTAATAAAAGAATAATCAAATGTTAAATTACATTGCTTCTACAGACAACATCAACAGAATAGACCATTAGGTGACCCCTTAGAATTATTCACAGACATATGAAAAGTTACTAACAACAATAATACAAGGGGTTTCTGATATAGAAAAACAATGTTTGATTTCAATATTCAATATAGTTGCCTTCAAGAGCGTTACGACGACTATGGCGGTAATACAAAGATGCAAAAAAGAAAATAGGAATAAATATTTCAAACCAAAATACTTCACAACGTTTTGATTGTTAGTATCCACAAATACCTTCAGTTAATAGCTGGTTTAGCTTCATTTTTATTTTTCACATGTCATCGACATAAACATTTTTTTTTTTCATCTCAGATAGATTCCACTGCGAACTCATAATCATTCGGAGTAAAATATTGTTTTCTGTTCATCATTAGGATATTTGTGAGCGGGGCCACTTGAAGACACCCTGAGCAATGAGTGGGTATGTTATTAATATGTGTCAACACCTCGCAAAATGAACTTGAAATTCTGAAAACAAGCCAAAATCAAACATCCATCTGTTCGTTGACCTCTTGTCCTCCAGCGCCCTCTAACGGTCGTGTCGATAGTGACTCTTATTGATATATTCATTTTAATTATTTGTAAATTAACATTCTTTATGATTTTTTCACAGTAAGTTTTATTCATTGGCTGCAGTCTACAATCAGCGAATAATTGGCCTTATAGTGGCTAGAATCAAGTCATATTCCCACTTAAATGAGGAAGATCGGGGTATTCTCGCCAAATCTCTATCTGATTATGACATTGGCTATATACTTTCACTGGGAGTGCTGAAAGAGTATCGGAGGAATGGAATTGCCTCGCTTCTTCTGGATTCATTTCTCAAACATCTCTTAACAGATGAAAGGAGGCGTGTCAAAGCTGTGTTTTTACATGTTCTCACAACGAATTCTGCTGCCATACTATTTTATGAACAAAAAAAGTAAGTAAACACCCCTAGTTTGAGTGAAATTTCTCACTGTATTAAATCATTTAGATTTTCAATGCAACTTGTAAATTTTACTTTTATTTGTTTCACAGGTAAATATTAAATCAGGTCAGTTATAAAAATAATAAAGATACTCAAAATTATTGTGAAAAAAACCTCCTTCAACCGCTTATGAATGAACGATCCAAATGATCGACACTGCCTGTAGTCCAACCAGTGCTGGAAATCGCACGTTAAAAGGTAATACCTCGTTAATCCTCGGCTCGCACAAGTTTCGACTTATGAGGGTTGTTGTTTGTAGGAGGGCGACAGCTGGTTTTGAACAGACATATATCGTAGACTGTTCAAAAATTCTGTTAAAATCTGTTTTTCCGTTAGCTAGCTGTCGAAACTTGTTCGAGCTAAGGACTAACGAGGTCTTACCTTTGAATGTGTGATTCCTAACACGGGTTGGATGATAATAAGTAGTATCATCTCGAAGTTATGTGACTACTCAATATTACCCTCATGGATCTGTTTTGAAGCTTCTGTAGGCTGTTAAGATTTTCATTGCTTACAAAGTAGAGCAATGTACTGCAATAGTCAAAGTGGGGTGCTTGTATTGATTTATATATTGTTAATTTTGCAGATTCACTCATTTTATTTTTCAATCTATATAAAAGATGAATTTTCGTGGCTATTTTCTTCTAAATATGACTATAGTGCGCATTTCTTGAACTGCTTTGAGTATGTAATAAAACGCTGGCACAAGTGTGTTACATCTGAGGGGGACTACCTTGAAGGGGAAAAAATAGAAATTGACGAATGATTGAATGAATATTTTTGAGAAAAAATAAAATTCCTTTTTTTTTAATAGACACAATGTATTCAATTGATCCTTATGTAAATTAATTGAGCTGATAATAATTCAGGAAATAATATTTACGAATACCACTCGATCTAAAATTGTTTATATCAGATTTCATATCCCAATGTGAATCTTCAGTAAAGTATATTTTATGAAAACACCGCAGGTGATACATTGTAATATCTACTATGTCTATAAGATGTAAATTTTCTTCATGACAATAAACTATATATGATGGTAATGATAATGAAAATACAAGAGTGATGGAAACCACACATGACTCTCAAGTATATAATATAATGATGATGATGGGAATAAGAGCAATGAGAACCGCTCCACACTTTAGAATATATTTCCTTCACATAATTTATCAACAAGAAAGACTACAGTGGGTCACTTCAGCCTGTTAATTTCACCAAGTTACAAAGTATTCAGCAAAATGAAAATTTTGTAAAATGTAGAGGAACGACCATCAAAAGTGTTCACAGACCACATGACACTGATGTATACTTTTGATACAAACTTCATGATTAATAGCACACATCGAGAAGACGGGTCAAAAACCTAATACGTGAAGAGAGCTAAAGTATACTGTGCGAGTGGAAATTTCCAAGTATCTACTCGGCCGTCTTCTAGACATAAGCTCGGTAAACAGTCCGTCTTTCAGGCGAAATTGTATTACAGGTAACCAGGCAGTACATAAAATAAATTATTGGACACTTTGTAGGTATATGATTTTCTTTCTTAAAATTACGTTAACTCAAAACATAAAAAATTATAGGTGTTACCACCTGTTACCATCTTACATTTGATATTTATCGTCTTTATATCCTTCATAACACTCTAATTTTTCCTTCACAAAATGTACTTTTGAATATATATGTTGTACAAGAACTAAATGTGTAAATTAAATTTATCTGTTCCAGATTTAGGCTACATAGTTTTCTACCTTACTATTATTCTATCAATGGAAAATGTAAAGACGGATTTGTGTATGTATTATATATCAATGGAGGACACCCACCATGGACGATATTATATCCTTTTTGTTGAGAAATGACATTTGATTTTCAATTGTATAACTACCAAGAACAGTATAAGGGCATTGAGGAAAATATCTTGAAATTCTTGATCTCTGAAGGTTAAAAATGAAAGACAAGACAAAAATAAATACAATTTTATGGAACTTTCTTTACAAATTTAGATAAACATTTATTGAATATAGCTGAAACTCGAATTAAAATGTCACTTCCCTGTTTTTTTCAATACTACGAAATATTGAAGAATTCAGATGTGTTTTCGTAAATACAGAACACATTCATTTATAAATCATGTAATTGTTCGTGTTTGAAGAATTTTTTTTCAAATATATAATATGGTATTTCAATTGTATTGTTATATGAGTGAATTTTTAATTATAGAAACGTATAAAAAAAAATTAATACAAATTATGAAATTAAAATTCAACAACAAAAATTAATTGGTGCTCAAGGGTGACTTGATTGATTTGTGACTTGTCATTCAAAATTTAAAAATATACCTACTAATATGCCATTATTTTCAAATAATTTTTAAACTTTCTGAGGATGGTTTTCTACTTCACCCTCTTTATAGAATAAAATGTGGGAATCTCCTGGAGAAAAGATGTGTAGATCATGTAAAGAAGTAACTCTCAGACATAAACTGGAAGAAAAACCCCTTTTGAAATAACTACTTTCGTACAAACATTGAATTACACGAAAGAGTTTATTTTTGAATTATTCGCATCCAGAACTTTTGGCAAAACATAAAAGAATTGCTCAAAACACCAGGGTTTTCATGCATCTTGAACCAAACCTATATAATTTTAGCAAAGCTAATAATTTGAAAAAAACTGTAATATGTAATAGAAAATGTTTGCATACTTGCTCAATACTGGGGTCTTTTTACAGATTTCAAACAATCAGTAATAGTTGAATTCTCTTTGTTATTTAACAATATTTATTCAATCATTTATTTTTTATTCGAATGGTCAAAAATATATTATACTCAGGAATATATGTTTAATTTAGTATTAAAACATATATCGACACATTTAAGTACACAGCTTGACATTTGTTTATGTATTCATCTACTTACGGAGACGTGAAGATATTGACTTCATATTCTAGGGTTGTGAAGTATTCGTCAGGAGCTTCAAAATGATGTGTCACAAGACCCTCCTTTCAATTTAATTTTTTTTCACAGATGGCGCCCAGTCGCCATCTTGAAAGTTTCATCTGTCAATTTCACTTCAAAATAAAGTATTCATGCATTAATTTCATTATCCCAAATTTCAATTTTTTGAGTTGACCCGTTCAAAAAATAAAAGGGGGGATATTAAAGAAATGCACTGTATAAATTGACGTTTGCATTTATAATTACGTAGAAAATTAATTTATTCGTTACTTTAGGACCTCCCACTTTAGGATATTTTGAAGATCAATACTTTCTTAAAATTGTTTACCTGGAATGGTTCCATTGAAAATATCTGAAATTATTCCCTGTCATTTTTTACTTCGTATTCTATATATTTTGTATATTCAATAGATTTTCAAATGAATTAATTATCTGAGATATAAATTGAATGATGTAGCCGTTACTACGTGGTAGAAGATCAAAATGATTAATGAATCTTTCTGTGTTTTTTACCACTTTTATTTGTAACTATCATTACTGCAGTTTCGTCTTATACAGACATTTTCAAACTACAATAAAACTGAAAATAAATAATAATGATAGTCCTTTGATAACTAAACTCCATATAGGACGAAATTGCAGTAACGATAGTCTTGAATAAAAGTGGTAAAAAACATAGAAAGTTTAATTTCTCATTTTTCATGATCTGAGATATCTTCGCATATACAATTATATTAAAAAAATATATTTCCAGAGATATTACTTATACCCTCCTTATTTTCATGCCAAGATTTCAACAAAGCAAGTTTATTTCGATTTTCCTTAATTAAAGTTACCGATTATATAAAGTTCATGTGCGGCAAAGTGATAAACGGAGTGGCGATATTTCCTTGGGCAGTATTCAAAATGAACAAAATGCTGCACTGGATCTGGAGAGAGGAGACCGGTGATCAACACCAAGATTACTAAACAAATTAGAACTAGTCGCCAAAAATTATTTGTTATTCGATTTTGTACGGAATATTTATTCAAACCTATTGATATTATAAAATTTTGTTATATAATTATAGGTATATGATACTGTTCTGTTCGATTGGGAACCTATTTTATGGTATCAGTATTATGCGTATTAGACTAGATGTCATGGGGTCAATTAAAAGTGGTTCCGCAGAAGTATTGCTATTTGCAAGGATAAAAATGAACTAGCGTTGTAGAAATTGCTTTAAAATATTTTGCCACCAAATCAAGTAGCAGATGGTATTGCTGAATACAATTTATTGGAAGGTTTTTCGCAAAATACTCACTCTATAGTAAGTTTCCTCGGGCATAAGTGACAGATGTAAGATAAAGTATCTATCAAGTAAGTTGGTAAAAAAAATTATCAGGGCGGATACCAAAAATAAAACGCTACGTGCTACCGGATTAAAAACCATCATCAATTTCGACCATTTGTCTTCTATTGCAGGTGACTATTAGGTTGTTTCAAAAGTTTTGTCCATATTTATGAGTCTGCTTTAAACTGTAATATCTCGTTGAACACTTATTCAATTTAATCGAAATAAGGGCCATTTGAATCGGTGCACTTTTGCAAGTCAATTCCGTCAGCATAAAAATTGTTTGCTCGGGATTCGATGAAGTCAACGAAGGCCTTTATTGCCTAGTCCTGATTGCCGGAAGTTCAGCCGGTGGGAAAGTTATCGAAGTGCTTGAAAAGATGATAAACGGGTGGGGAGAAGTCTAGGAAGTATGATGGGTGAGGCAGAACTAAGACGTTCAATTCGTTTAATTTTCGGACGGTGATTTGTGATACGTGCGGATGGACGTTGTTGTGAGCAGAATCAGATCTCTTCTGTTAACCAGTGCCGGCTGCTGCTGACGCAATATTCGGTTTATTTTGTCGATTATTGCACAATAGGACTGCTGGTTTTGACATTTGAGAAGTGCCTAGATGGCACTTCGGCGTCCAACCATTGTTCTGAACATCTCCTGTTGTCGTAGAGGATCCATTTATTATCACACGTGACGGTCTGATTCAAAAAGGATAGTTTTGGTTGCGCAAAACTAAAGGAGAACAGACCTCGAGGCATGACAATTTTTGTGGATCGTTTAAACCATCAAAAAGCGCATGGAAGCTGACATCCAGTTCTTCCGCAATCCCGCGTACAATTTGTGATGGTTCAGTCTCCACAAGGGTCCTCAAATCCTCGTCCTGTATTACTATAGGTCGACCACTTCGGGGATTATCTTCGATGCTAAAATCTCCGGAACGAAATTTCGCAAACCAACGTCTTACAGTGCGTTCATTAACACTAAAATTGCTGCTTCGGCAGCGCTTTGGTTCAATTTTGTCTGAAAACCGCTTAACGAAATCATAAAGTAAAAAGCCGAAGAGAAGCCTTAAATTTAAATTTGTAAAAAAAATTAACAACATCAATGTAAAGAGTACAAAATTCTCTGTCGATCAGTTTATACCAATACACAGTATAATAAATATTTATCGAGATATGGAGCTACAAAAACACATGACATTAAAACTGACAAATCATTTCTTACAACCTAATAATATGAAAATGAATTAAATTTGATGAAGTATCATGTTTAGTAATTATATACATTTTTTGGACAAAGTATGTAAGTCTGCCAAAGCAAAACTGCAAATAACTTTTTTTATAGGTTTATCAACCAACGTCGTTAAAGAAATGATTTTGTTTTCACCCCTTCAGTCTTGAATAATTCAATACCTACACTTTTTCTGTGTTTCTTATGAACTGAATTTGATTTCATTCTATTGGTAATATACCTATGTAACTTATTTTGCATAATCACTAAATGTTATATTAAAAAATCGAAAGAATATTGAATTTCGTTTGAGATATTTTGGCAATGTTTCAAGGCATTTTTGATCTGGAAACACCAAACGGTTTTGTTCATAGTACATTTTTGAAAGTGGGTATTAAATTATCCTACCCCCTATAGAAACTCCTATTATTTAGAATTCGTGAAAAAAATATCAATTTTTTGGAAAGTAACGTGGATGGAATGAACCTTCTTCATGAGAATAGTACAGCGAACGTGTTAAGAGAGACAGCACTAATAGTAGGGACAAACATAAACTATTCACATGTAAAACAGTGTTATTTACGTAATATTAATTTATTTTTTTCAAATATAAATCTGATATAAAAAAAAATATTTTGTACTAGTATAATGCCAACAAAGCATTGCTGTTTTGCAAATTGTACGTCGGATAATCGATATGAGGAAGAAATCGTGTTTTTTATACCATTTATAAAACCTCATATTAATGAGGTTAGATGTAAGAAATGGATACATGCTTCGAGGAGAGTGGATATAACAGTGCAGAAAATAAATAAATATTCATATGTATGCTCTTAACGTGAAATGAATAGTAAATTTTTCATAGTTGATTATCATTGATCAGAATGAGATACAACCTCAATCGTTTATTAAATTATATTCATTCATTATATTTTATTTCATTACCTACCATCTATATTTGATTCATATTTCAGTCGGAAATAAATCTGAAATTCATAATTATTTTAAATTTCTTTCATTACAATTTGAATCTACCGCTACTCTTTTACTAGAGTCTGTATACTAACTAACCTGTCTATTCACTTTTTTTTTCAGTTACTTTTAAATTACGGCATGCAAGCCAACGTTATAATGTTACAACATTGTTATCCTTTACAGTTGCAAATTTTAGTTTTGCTACAGGAACATCTTCTGTTGAAAACAATCTTTTTTAATTGTACTTTACCATATGTTTATATGAGCATTAGGCAGTGTTTGTCCCTACCGAACTACTAGCGCTGCTAGTGAGTGATTTTTCGTACTTCAGGAAAAAGGTTCATTGAAAGCACAACTCTTTATTATTTCTTTGTTCCATAATTGACATTGAAAGATGAATTCCGACCTTTCTTCTTCTGTAGAACTATATCTAGTCATTTAACCAATAAAGGATATCACTGCTGCACTTTCTTGTAGAAAATTTTTATTGAGAAATTTATTTCAACCCGTACAAACCTCAATGTATTAATTTAATTTTTATATTATTGTATTTAAGATGTGTATGTAATTAGAATTTTATTTTTATTCAAGAAACGGTTAGTGTGATAAAAAAATACTATGTAAATTGTGAAATATTTCTATGTATACTTTTGTTGCTGAAAGAATGAGTTTCCAGAGTCGTTTCTACTATTTTTTGAAACAATTTATATATTAAGAACAATTAATTTTTTGTGTTGGAAAGTTTATTTCACATCATGCTAGATTTGCTTATTTTACCAGGGTACATTTCTGATAAATGCAGATAGTTATCAGCTGTTACTATAGTATTCTCATGGAATACATATGAGATATCTAAAGTCAGCATTTGCTATATAGAAGAAGCAGTCCTGCAGACTAATATCGTCATAAGTTTCATGATGGATATCAAACATCATAGGTGTTACTCTTGGTATACTATCCCATTTACTTCACTTGACTTTTCATTTCATTAAACAAGTATGTTGACAAAACAAAAATTTTAATTATGACTTTTTCATATACCAAAGGTTTAGGATCGATCCATTACCAAAAGATATTTTGCAAGTATTGTCTTGATCATTTTATAATTCATATTATAAAATGAACGAAAAAATCACTGTGTTTGATAATATATGATTTTATTTATATTGAATATATCAAAAATATGTACAAAATATATAGGTATATTATTTGTTTGTTTTATTTTATCTTCTGGTGATTTATTATGAATGTGTTTCATAAAATTTGTTATCTTTTAAATCGAAACGAACGGTTATATTTTTTGAGAGATAAGTTTTTGGAGAAAACTTTTTTGCTTTCACTTCTTTGACTTTTAACAAAAAAAAGTGAACTTTTCTAATGGAAAGAAGAAAGCAATCAAGTTAAAAATAAAATATTTTAAAGATGTGTAGATCATTCATAAAAGTCATTTTCAGGCACAAAGCCTTTCCAAAGACGAAGCCTTTCCAAATTAAAATTGAATGACATGAAACGCCTTCTTTCATATGAACTTTGAAAAATACGAAAATCACTTCTTTTTATTCAGTTTGTACTCCAAACATTTGTTATGGAATTGTTTATTTTAAACTTCATTGCTTTTTCCTTCTTTTGGAAGATTCCCACAATTATTTGTATGAAGATGGAGGAGGTGAATTTACCAAAATCTTTTGAATCATATTGCATCATAACAGAAGTTGAAGTACCGATCCTTGAGGAACCCCAAGGTCAGACGTAACGTCAGAGGAAACGCCTGGAATTCTATAAATGCTAAAAGCAAACTAAGCAGGATGCAAATACTTTCATGTTTGGGAATAACGGGAATAATGAAAACCACTACAGTAGATGTACTGTAAACCCCCAATAAATATAAATAATAATAAAAAGGTTTATTCACGAATGGGCGCGACATAATTTGTGTTCCTTTGGCCAATTGTTTTTTCACTTCGAGGAAAAAACAGTTCATCATTTTTTCTCGTATTGTGAGTATGCTTATGATACTTCAGTATTATTTTTCCTTTTTTTTTAAATACATGAATTTTTTTACAGAAAAGTTGACGAGCATCCATCATTATTTGAATTTATAGCTGATATTTTTTTTTATTATTTTCAAAATCCATTTCTGTAATACGTTGATCTTGTCTATGAAACATTCTCTCACACCACCCCATCCCAAAATTCAATATGTCAATTGTGATTGTGCCAATGCCAAATAAACTGATTTAAGGTTTTTAGGATCTAAAAATGCTTTCAAATATTAGAGTCTAGGAAGTATTCCTCGTATATTATTCGACAGATGCTTCATTTGAAGGTCCCATCTGAAATGCCGATCTATCATTATTTATGAATTGGGTTTCAGAAATTTTTGAATCTAGACCAACATCAATATCTCCCAAATGTGGCAATTCTGATGAATAGGAACAGAATGGTAGATAACAGCTCTTATTTAAGTTGAGAGTAAGTTTATTGTACTGAAGCCATTTAGCTATGTTAGAAAAATTATTCTCAATATTTTCTTGAAGTTCATTCCAAGTGTTTGCTTTGATGCTTTGTAAGTAACAACAGTATCATTTGCAAAACTAATAATTTCCCCCAAACTATCTATGTTAAAAAGACTATTTATGTATATACTAAAGAGTACCTACTGGTCCCAGAACAGACCCTTGCGGAACATCATAAGTTATTTTTCTAGAACTGCTACATACCTTATCAATTCGCACCTGTTGCGTTAGTTCTGACTGATAATCTTTTAACATATCATAGGCGTTTCCTATAATCCCATAATATTTCAATTTATTCAGAAACTTTTGGTGACTAACTGTATCGAAGGCCAAGAAAGATACTTATTGTTGGCACTGATTTATCTAAGGAATCATAAATTGATGTAAATTTGTGAATAGCATCTTCCGTTGATTTACCCTCGCGAAAACCAAATTGATTATCAGACAAAAG